GAATCCAAATAAAATAAGCAGAAAATTGTTCGAGGTCAGCAAAGTGGGGAAACCATGCGGTTTCTCAGAAACAGTCGGTTTTTCACGTTTTTCTGTTTTTACAGTTTTCTGCTGTACAGTTGACGTTAAAAATCTTTAAAGGTGATATTCTTGATCAGCTCGACGTGCTCTATCCAACCATGTATAATTCGACCAGATTCATTTTATCACTAACCTTTTGAATTTCCCGCACCTTAGAAACTTACATCAGCCTTATATATATCTATAGAAGTTAAATCGGTGACGGCGTCGAAGACAGAAGTCAACGCTCTCTCTAAGACGCTAGACATGAAGACGCCAGAAGGATCTAATTTGGGTAATTTGACTGATAAAATCTCTCGTTTTATAAACTTGGAGAAATGGAAGTCACATAAGATCGGGTCTCACTATCATTAATGTTGTATCCTCTAGAGTAGAGATGTGAGGTCGCTATTGAGCGGTCTTCTAAGTTAGAGAAACTTGAGGTTGTTGAACAGTAAACATGAGTATAGAGATCAGGTAATAGATTTCGATTACTTTATCTTCATCGCTAATATGATCTCATCTGCTTTTCTAAAAGGAATACTACTACGGTGTTACAATCGTCAGAAGATGTGTGGTGAGATGTGGAGATTAAATGTAACATAAGTTGTTTGTAACTTAGTTTGCGTAACTTTAATGTACATTGATTGTATTGAAACTATTTTGGACGATTGTATCGCCTTACATTTAACTTACGCGCCCAGTGTATCCTGACCCCAATACATGCATGAATCAACGAATCGTATTTGGTTGGCTCAGAAATTACTTAACAACGGATGGGAGCTACATGATTAATAAAAGTTATCAGACTCTTTTCGCGGTTTTTGCTAACAAAAATTCGAGAATCTGTTTTGTAGTTTTTCTCAAACTTTTTGACAGACTTGGGAAAACGATCGTTCGATCTTACTTGCTAGATAATATAGAAAGACTTTTGTAGAACAAATTGAAGTGGGATGTTTTTGGACTGTAAGTCACCGATCGAATTGTCTGTAAGTCACCGATCGAATTGTCAAAAAATTGCAGCCAGTAGCTGAGCCGGCAAAGAATTGTTCGGGCTGACACAATGACGCTCATTCATTGATTTTTGTTGAAAACTGTGCAAAATTATCAGTTCCAGGATTGATTTGCTTCTGGTTACTACGAACCTATGGAATTTTTTTGAGTTGCTAGAAACGCAGAGTACATGTTTCTGTACAAATAAGGTGTTAGCGAGCTCTGTGTGGGTTTTGTTTATCATTGTATACTCATTTAGTAACAAACTCCCAATCGAGTTCAGGTCCAGGCCACAATGTACGCCTACTGTTCTTTTTTCATTCGTAATTGTCCTTTTTCTTCAGATTAATCATCGAAGAAAAAATGAAGGGTCGTCATGGAGGATATTCGGACGACGAAAATAATGATACAACAACAACAAAACGATCATCTCATCGTCATAAACACCATCATCATCAATCAAATAATAATCACAACAATGACAAATTCGATAATCAGAAACGTCCAAAAGTTGAAAGCGCGGAAGATGATGATTTTGAAGGTTTGTGAAGTCTTTTTAATAGAAATTATCGGCTCTTATATCTGCCGTTGAATTCGTTTTAACACTAATTGACACTGGTTTCTGATTTCATATCTTCGTTTTCAGGTAAACTACAATCATTAATATTTAATCTTGGAGAGAAGATAACACCATCGTTAGATCAAGCATTAAGAGATTTATCAATTGTATTGTGTAACAATCTAACAAAACATAAGAAAACCATATTTAATTTATTAAATCAATGTATTGCCCTATTACCCGAACGCATAACAATCTATACGTCATTAATTGGTTTACTACATGCAGCGATAATTACATTTGGTCAAGAATTTATCGATCTATGTGTCAGTACATTAAAAGATCATTTACAACAATATAAATTTGAATTAGCACAACGTTATGTTCAATTTTTATCGGATTTAGTCAATGTTCGATTAGTAAGTACACAATCAATATTACAATTGTATGAAAATTTTATTCAGACAACATGTGAAACAGGTAAGTTAATCATACACCTCTTTGACCTCGATCAAGATTTCATTTTAGTGGTAATGTTATTCATACTGCTAGTTTGATGCTACAAAGACTTGACAAAGAAAACTGATTTTAATGTATTTTTAGACGTGCTACAAGTGCGAACAGATTTTTATATATCATGTGTCCTAGTTTCATTACCCTTTAATGGAAAAATGTTGAGCGAAAAACAGAGTGTTGAGTTAAATCGTCTTTTGTATATGATCAATAAATATGTTAATAAACGTTCAAAAATTCATGTACCAATCTTACAAGTTTGGACATCTATTGAGCCACATCCACAAGAAGAATATTTAGACTGTTTATGGAATCAAATAAAACGTTTAAATCAAGATGATTGGAATGAATCACAAATCTATCGACCATATCAAACATTCAATGATACATTATTTGATTCAGTTGATCAACAAGTTGTAATCACTCACGATTTACCAAATCTATTTATACCACCGCATCAAGATTACACTATTTATCCATTACCAAAAATTGTTTTTCGTATGTTCGATTATACTGATGTACCAGAACAATATGTATTACCCGGTGCTCATTCAATTGAACGGTATCTTGTAGAAGAAGAGATAGCCAATATTATTCATACATATCATATCGAACGTAAAGATTGTGCCATACATTTAACACAGATAAAAACAAAAAATAAAATACCATTAAATTATATGATCATTGAAGTGTGTATATCTCTGTTAATTTGTCTACTTTGCATCTTCATTAAATTTTCATAAATTTTAGGTAATATTTGGTCACTTATTTATGCTTCCACGTGCACCACATCTAGAATTATTTTATGGTTCATTATTGTTAGAATTATGTAAATTACAACCGAGTACATTACCACCGGTATTAGCTCAAGCTGTTGAAATGTTGTTCGAACGTTTACATTCAATGAAAGCTTGTTGTATTGAACGTTTTGCAAAATGGTTTGCTTATCATTTATCGAATTTTCAATTTACATGGGCATGGCAAGATTGGATCGATTGTTTAGAAGATAATCCAGAATCACCAAAAATTAAATTTATTCGTGAAACATTTCAGAAATGTATGAGATTATCATTTCATCAACGTGTTATTGATTTTGTACCTGAACCATTTTATAAAATAGTAAGTTCTTTTGATTTAACTCAAACGTTCGATCTAAAACCATAAAGGGTGCCCCACAAGTTCTGAAACGATTTCTAGAACGATGAATTTACAAATCGTTTCGGAAAAAAATAATAGACAATTTAATTCTCTACAAGATTGTATATTCATTTTTAAGATTCATCTTTGATGTTGGCACAGTAAGTGTATCAGGAGAAGCTCCAAATTTTCCAAAATTCCAGGCAGTTTTAAAGTGCAAACCGCTCTCTTGTTTTAATTGCTTATAATGAGTACAAAAAGATTTTAAATAATTTTATTACAGTCAAATGGTGAAGAATTTTATGCTTTACAAAAGCGTTTACTTCAAGGAAATTTATTTCAATTGATAGTAGCTTTAATACATAAACTTCCAAGTCCACAGAAGTTTCTAGCACTAAAAAAAACGTTTTCACTGTTTCAGTATAAAATTCAAAGTTCAAATCATTAGTTTATAGACCAAAAAGTGCAGAATTTCGCAAATAAGATACCTTTCTTAAAGACTCTTTTCAATCAATTTTGTCAAGGGAAATTTAAAAAGTTTGGAGCTTTTCCTGTTAGCCTTACTGTGTCAAAGATCAAAGGTGAATCTTAAAAATAAATTTACAATCTTGTAGAGAATTAAATTGTCTATCGTTTGGTATAGTAAAGAATTTTTTTCGGAGACGATTTGTAAATTTATCGTGCTAAAAACCGTTTCTGAACTTATGGGACATCCTTTAAGTGTTTTCAATACGAAGTTACTAGTTATATCCATTGAAAAGAAACGAATGTGTGCATTCAGTCGTCTCCTTACACCATTTTTAAGTAAAAAAAATTTGTATTTCAAAAAGGCGTATTAATATGACTTCGTTTATAGGTACCAAATAAGCCATCTCCCATATTCAAATATGAAGAAAGTGATCGGCCAATAGTCGGTTCTGATTTTGCTCAAATAATAATAAAAAAGATTAAAGATCGTGTAACACCCGAAGAATTATTATGTGAATTAAACAAAATTCCAAATGCCAAAGATGAACAATTAATATTATCGTCAGCATCAACAATCATGAGAACTATTGGCAGTAGTAGTTCAATAACAACTAATAATACCATTTATAATCCATTACAAATTGATCTTTTTGTATCATCACTATTATGGGTCGGTTCAAAATCATTTACTCATTCATTTGCCGCATTAGCAAAATATCATCAATTATTTAAAATTCTAATTGAAACTGAAGAACAACAAATTCAAGTATTAAAATCAATGTTTGATGTATGGTCAAATCATCAACAGATGATGGTTATGCTAGTTGACAAAATGGTATGAGTTCAATATGAACTAACTTGGATCAGTAGAATTGTGAACCATTGTTGCTTGTTTTTAGATTAAAACACAGATAATTGAATGTTCATCAGTTACTAACTGGATGTTTTCTCGAGAAATTGCACAAGATCTGACCAATTTTTATATATGGGAAATATTATCATCGACTATTGATAAAATGAATCGTCAAGTTGAGAAATATTATAATGAACTGATAGATTTGAGTCGACAAATACATTTAACAGTGACAACAATACCTGTCACTAGTTCATCGTCAATTTTGATAACAAATAATAACAATACGGAGAATAATAATCACGATCAAAATGAAAATAAAACGTTAATAGATGACATCGTTAAACAAGAAGAAAAAATGGATGAAGATGACAATGAGCAAGTAAAAATAAAAGAAGAACAAACATCAACTAATGTATCAAATACAAATAAACAGTTGAAACGTCGACTTTCATCGGATGATGAGGGAAATAATGATGATGAAATGAATGAAAATAGTAAACAAACTAAGATAAATACAATAGACATTGATAAAGAACAACGTTATGGTATTGGTGAAGTAAAATCAGAATTACATGAAAAATATGATATTATCGAAGAACGATATCAACATGGATGTGATCAACAGAAAAAATTGTATTTAATTATATTTCAACGTTTCATCATGAGTTTAAGTGATTATTTGAATGAGTGTGAAAATAAAAATATTGATCATAATACACCGTGGTTCAAATGGATCATCGAACGTTTACAAGATATATTTTTATCATATCATGAACAAGTATTTCAATATGTGTCAACATTTGAAAGTTTAATATTTACAAGTGATATTGATTTTTGTATATTAGAAGTATTTCAACAATTTTGTGCATTAAGAAGTTAATTCATGTAATTATTAATCATTTTAAATGGTTATTATTATTTTATAGAAAATTTTATTTGTTCAAATCCTTTTTAAAAAGATCTCATTATGTACTATTATCTATTGAATTATTCCTGATACACTTTTTAAAGTTGTATGCATATTTTTATTACATCACTGTGTTCTCCGTGTCTACATAGATTAACTAATTTTTGTTTGCTCTATATTCAGTTGAAATTAGTTAATGTGTTTTCATGTTGTTATACTGGTTATTTTTTTCCTGTTTGACAGGGTTCTAACCCTCTCAGCAGTAATCTTCATGTTGGCAAAGCTTCGATTCATATATATGTACAACACTTTCTTTTACCGAAAAATATATGAATTTTGACATTTGTTGTTATGTTTTTGTTATTGTTTTTATGAATTTTTCTTTTTTGTTTTTTTGTTAGACATAAATTCATTTCTATTACAAGGAAATGAAATGTATTAAAATAGGATATTTTTTTTAAATCTCCCTATTAGAAAAGCATAAGAAATGCAACACAATGCTTTACATACAAAGGAAATTAAAATTTTGTTCTCTTGAAAAAAGGAGATTCAACCAAAGATTATCCTGCAAAAGAAAATTTTATTGGCACTGGTTGCGCATTGATGCACACCGATGCCGAATAATGTTTTTCTGGACACCGATGTACAGTGATGTAGAACATACATTCACAAAGTATATTTTATACTGGCATAGATGCGCAACGATACTAAAGTTTTTTTTCCAATTATCATTTTGTTTTATCAGTGATTGTGTATATAAACATTACACATACTAGCAATGTTTCAGATGTCTTTATAGCTTCATCTTTTCTCTCTCATAAAAGAAGTACCGAGGTCAATACTGTACAGTTATGGCATGACACTGTGGTACTGGTATCCACCAGTTCTAATTAATGCAAAATTAAGAAAAGTAATCCTGCAAAAAGATTTCAGTGCGGCACCGATGCTAATCGGTACTGGTTTGGCATTTACTAGGCACTGGTGACAGATGGCATGCCATGCGTACCGATGCGCACTGGCAGTGGAACACTGAAGTTTTTTTTTGTAGGGTAGTTCATTTTCATAAAACCTTTTAAGGTACAAATCCACTTTCTAACCTAAACTTAATTACACTAGCTTCAACTAAACAATCTTCACGTTTAGAGCATGATAAAAGAGTCCAGATGCATAAGTTCTTGAATGATAGTCTAAGTTCTGTCTGACAATCATTCAGAATATCCAGAGAGATGAGGTCAGTCATTAAAGATAAGTAAAAGAAGCGTTTGGGTGTTATCTATGCAATACAGTGTGTCATAATCACAAGAACTCCTTTGTTTTTTATTTTCCAGTAAAAGCTGGCACAAATCTGAATACTGTTTCGAACAGCCCAAAGATTTTTCTATCAGATGATGTGCATATCGCTGTTCCATAAAAAAAGTTGATAATAGGGTTTCTAGAAAACCAAGTCCTGGGTATTTGGTCAGAAAATTTTTCGAACCAAATAAGCCGATAGAACTAAGAATTTTGAGGGAAATAAGACATCTCCCGGCTGTCCAAAACGCTTTTTCACCGGAATGTCTTGGTAATTTTCACGCTGTTTGTATCCATTCGTAAATCGGCTGCAGTTGGGTGAAAAAGCGCTATAGACAGCCGGGAGATATTTCATCATGGCAGAAAAATGACTATATTACCAACATCAATTCTACAAAAAGTTGCATTTTACTCCCGTAATGATTTGATTTAAAATATCGTTTGTGCTCAATTTCAAGATTTAAACATATTTGTATTCGATCATATTCAACGTACGCTATCTTTTGAATATAGATTGGTTACTTACCGAGAATGAGTGAAAACGATCATGTCTTTTGCTATTTTTAAAACTACTTCTAAAAATCACATCAGATATTTACTCTTTATTTTTTTTGTGTATTCCTATATATGTAGATTTACTCTTATTTAGTCTATCTCTTCTTTCTCGCTCATATTTCTCTCTCTTATTCTAGTAGTAATATTGAACTTTTTCGAAATCGAACGAACGATAATAAAACGATTCCGTTATTAACCCCTTACTGCATAGTGGGTCGTATGTGGCATAGACTATTTTTGTAAAACTTCTTTCTTGTAACAATATATATTAACAAAATCAAATGCAGTAATATTTATGAGAGAAATCTACAACTTATTTTACATGGTGCTGCCATCATAGGTCATTATTTATATTTTTTTATGTTTATTTTTTACCATAACTGCATAATGTTCCATATATGATCCAAACTGTTTTTTGAAAAAATAGAAGTAAATAAAAAAAATATCTAAAAAATAATATTGTGTTTGTCTTTCTACATGCAAATAGAAATAAAATAAAAAATTTTTAAAGAGAAAAAAAGAAAATTCACGTAGTAAGGACTTAAATTTATTTTAGTAATAATGACACGTGTTTTGGCTTAATGTCTTTCTCAAGTTATCTAAAAGACAAAAAAAACACAACGTGTAATAAATGCAGAAATTTTGTTTTAATGTGCAATCAGATTTATTATTCAAAGAACTATCGGGCATTCTTGACAAATTAGGCGTCGAATCAAAGTTGCTGTTGTTTATTCAATTTTTGACTTTTTTCATAAATCTAGTGATCATTAGCGTGTATCTATTATATTACGTTTTGCCGTTTCTAAACACATCTGACATGTTTCCTTGATTGAAGGAAAGATTTTACAACATAAATTATTTATTTATCGAATAAGAAATAACAACTTATAGAACGCTTTTCGAAAGTTTATCTTATGAACTGTAGTTTTCGGATCTTGTATTCAGGTAATGTTGAATCATGACGTAATCCCTCTGCAACTTTCACTCTGAAGGCAGAATAATGCAACTGTATACGACAAGCTGTATATGACGTGAACATCGCGTCATTCTACGGCAAAGGGTTAATAAAGCAGATACAATTAAATTTGATTATTTTAATTAAATTCTTCTACATCAGAATGATATGTGAATAATACAATCAGCATTTCACTAGTATTTCAATACATCGAAGCTGAAGCAGAATGCACATGAAGTTGTAAAAGTCTAAAGTGGAACATTTGGCGCAAGGAAGCTACATTAAAATTGAAATGCAAACAGCTCTCCATTAGTGCATACTATTTTATTTAGAACAACACAAAATCAATCGCTGTCAAAAATTATCGTTGGTCTCATTTTTACTTCTGATTCGAAATCGCAGAAACCTTTAACTGATCTTTACCTATTAAACACTTCTTTTCCGATATTCGCTTCAAAACCACCAAAGATAAATATCAACTGCAAGAAGATGAGTGATTAGATGTGCTGAATAAAGAAAGATGACTGAAATTTCTTGATGTTGATGCGTAAATAATTACAGAGCAACTAGTTTGGTAAAAGAGTTTTTGATATTTTTTACTTTTATATGTGTCTGTTGTTTTACATCATGAGGAAAGAAAGAGAAAAATGCCAGGAATCAGGAATGATATAATATTCGAGTACTATTTTCTCTCTTTAAATAAAAAACTAAGACTAATTCTCATCTAGTTTTGCAGTTCACCGTAAATTACCAAAAAATGTACAAGTTACCCAAGCAAAAACGACCCAATTTTTTGGGTTATTTATCTAGATTCAACTCCACGTACATCTAGATGCACGTGGAACTGAATCTAGATAAATAACCCAAAAAATTGGATCGTTTTTGCTTGGGTACGTCCATTACGCTGATCTACGCCATTAATACTAAAACTTGCTGGATATTAAACACACTTATCGCACTTTCACTTTTTACAAGACAAATAAATCTGTATGGCATTCCTCACTCGACAATTGTGAAACATAAATGAGGCATACTTTTTATTACAAGTGGATAAACTGTTTCTCAGTCAAGAGACAGATCAATAGTGTAGGTAGAGTGCGCCTACTTGTTCATTTTTCAAAGTGTAATTGTAAATACATTATGATGAATAAAACATATTCAATTTGAATTCAAAAGTATTATAAATGTCCGAGATAAAATTCGCTAGTTCGACATGCATATCTGTAATACATAGTTACACATGTTGATGATAACTTCGATAGATAATATATCAGACATTAACTTTGCTGCATAAGCACAACTAACTGTGTGAAAACGACCAATTAACGGTGATCAAAACTCGAAATATAGAGCAAATATCGTTAACGGATCGGTTTTTCACATTTGAAATAAACGAGTTCACTGTAGTATCTATCCGTTCTTGTGAAAAAGAGTCAACTAATTAGTTTTTTTTCTTTTTAGTACTCCCTTATGTTCCTCAGGTCAACCTTCGTCATTAATTCTACTTCCAAATTATCTATATACGAAACTATTTTTCTAATCGATTTGAACACGTGAACTTCTTCTAATTTACAGTTTATTACTCTAACTATTCAGTTCTCATGTATCGCGTATAAATAGCTTCTTCTCTGTAAGCAGGAAAAAGTAAAAAGAAAAAATTCAATACCGATATTTTCATGAGTTATACGCGTTTTTGATAAGAGTTTATCGTACATGGAGTTATATCTATTTTTCTTTAATATGAATCTTTGAACTTTTATTAGTTTTAAATACGAAGTAGATATTTTTTAATATTAATTTATCGTCTACGTCAAGTAAAGCGAGAAAAAGAGATTACTTAAAGCAAAACAATATATAAACAACTTATGAGAAAAATTAGTATAGGATAAGAGTCAGCATAAAGGCCGCAGGTGAATAAGTTAGAAAAATTTCTCTAAATCGATTTAATTTTTTTTCTGTCAGAATCAATAAATCAGACGAAACGTCTAGGACATAATCTACTATTAAATTTCTCGAATTCCAATATCAGATTTTTGAGTAACAAGACTTTTCTTTTGAGAAAAAGAAGGTAGGATAAAAGATACTTCAGAAAAGATCAAAGTCTTTTGTCTGAGTTTTGTGTAAAAAAATTTTTCTATGTCAAATCTAACGGTCTGAGATTCGGATTCTGATTTATTGTTTTTAACTGGATGCTTGTTTTGAATTCAAATACTGTTTTTGTGTGTGCATATGCTCAAATAAGATGATGATTTTCCTCAGTATTTAGCCAAGATTTCTATTTCTGGCTACGACACACATTGGTTTTAAACTCTTGAGTATCACAAATTGATATAGCATAAAAAGTTACGTCGGCTGTAAAATTTCAAACTTGTTCGAAGTTTGCATTATTGAACAGTAGTAGAAAAAACATACAGTCGAATGTGTACAACAATTAGGTTTTTCAATAATAAGAGGTAAAACGTTTTCTAAAGTTCCTGAGAGCGCAAGCATCAAAGATCTGATATCGAAATTTGAAGAAACTAAAGAGTAGAAAATATTTTAGACATTATTCTCACTTGTTTCTAATCGAAAACGTCAGAAAAATGAATTCCAAATTGATCACAACTTATTTATTTATATTGAACAAAATGAATGAGAAAAATCAGCACGTTGATGATTGAATTTGTGGATCATATTTCATATTTCGATAATATATATTACCCATTTGTTGCTGAGATTGTTGTTCAAGTGTTTGTAATTCATTATTATCTTTTATAGTTTTTGATTCTTCATTATCAATAAAAACTTGTACAGAATGTGGTGATGTTAGTTGACGATTTGATAGAACGGGCGTTTGTATAATATTTTGATTTTTATAGATAATATTATTATTATATGAATTTGTTCCATTATGTTGTTGTTTTTTTGATGGTGATGGCACACCGGCCGATATTAATGATTGTGATTGTGTTTTAAAACCACTACCACCACTACGATTTATAATCATCATATCATTATTCGCGAGCGTATCAGCTGTAAAGGAATTTGATCTTGAATCTGTCATTGCATCAAATCTTCCTGATGGATTATATTGACTACTTGTGACATTACTCATACGACGTTGTTGTTTTTTTTTCTTTTTATTTCGTTTCCAAATAGCCTTTAATCTATACCATATAATAACAAGAATAATGGCAAAAATTGTAATAGCAAAAATGGTGGCTAACACGGTAAATAGTTTAATCATATTATCACGTTTTCGCTGTTTTTCTGTGATTGGATTATCCGTATATTTAAACCACCAAGAGGTCGGGGTAATAGTTGTACTTGTTGTTTCAAATGTTACAGTCGATTCAATAGTTGTTGTGATGGTAATAGTAGTAGTAGTAGCAGTAAGAGCTGAACAATTAATAAACATTAATTCATAGTCACATTTATCACCAACACCTTTCAATAATAAATCACTTGTTGTTTGTCTCGTATTATTTGAATATTTTCCTAATATTTCTTCAGTATAATTTTGAATACATGTTGGTGTTAGTCTTAAATAATTATTATCATCTAAATATTTAGCTGCTGGATGATTAGGAATTATTGTATATTTAAAATAATCATGATTACGATATAAATAATGAATTGCACATGAACATGGATGTTGACGAGGTAAATGAAATAGTGTACGATTAAATTTTGATAATATACAAAATGCAACATCACCTAAATCAAAGCTAAAATGTAAAACAAAAAATAATTTTTATTTTTTTTTTTATTCATAGTCGATATGATCATACTTTGTATTTAATAGATTGATAACATGTACACTTGCCAAATTATAAATCCATAGAAAATTTTTTTTAATTAAATCTACAAATTGTATACCTTCTAAACTTATTTCTTTTAATAATATTAAATGTGAAAATGTTTTAATTTCAATATATTTTAATGGATTATAGGATAAACGTAAAATATGAAGATGTTTTAAACCATTAAATGTATTATTATTTAATATATGAATATTATTATATGATAAATCTAATTCAAATAAATTAGATAAATTTAAAAAATAAGATATATCATTATTAATATTAAAATCAATTAAATTTTTTGCCAATGATAAATTACGTAATAATAATAAATCAGCAAATGTTTGTTGACCAATTATTTTTATACGATTATTAATTAATGTTAAACGACCATGAAAATAGTATAAATGTTTAAAACAATTATCTTTTAATTCTGTAATATTATTATTTTGTAATTCAATTTCAGTTGTATATTTATAATCAATATTTGTTGGAAAATATTCAAATGTTAATGAACTATGAATACTTTGAATTATTCTATAAACATCTAATGTTAATTGTAAATCTAATACAGTTATATTAATAATAACTGTTTTTTCTGGTAATGGAATTATATTATTTATATTCACATTTTCATCTATTATATCATTACCTAAAAGATCTCGTTTGGAATTTATTTTTACTTGTTTTATTTCTGATGAATTTATATTTGGAATGTAAGAAATATCTGCAATTGTTGTATTAAACATCATTTGTTGTTCATCATCAGATAATGATGGATTAATTCCTTCTAAATGTAACAAAAAATATTTTTTTTTTTTTTTTACTAAAATATCATATTTTATTTTTAATGTATAAATAATTATATATCGAGTGGAAATAGATTTGGTTGGAGTTTTTTTGCAGACAAGTTGAAGAAAAATATTTTTTACAAGTTACTTATAAACATAAGGACAGACATGACTAATTCAAAAATATCTCTGCTCAGATCTTTTCCATTACCGAGACAGGAAACATTATCCGTAAAATATGTCGGCTACTTATAATCATGCCTTTAGGAATAAAATAACCATAAGTAGCTCGAATACAGTATAGAGACATGTTGCGAGGTGCGAGATTAGTTTTCATTGGTAGAAATCGTGAAAAAATCATGATTAAAAATGGAAAAAGTTCAAAATTTGCAAAATTTGAGAGCTCTCTCCACCCATGGAAGACATTTTTATAAAAGTACGACTGCAAGAGAATTTAAGTATAAAATTACAGCTGCCTAAATAATCAATTTCACCAAAAAATTTTGCCTTCGAAGCAATAAATAAGAGTCAATTTTTAGGAAATAATGTCTCTTATCTTAGAGCAGAGATATTTTTGAATTAGTCATGTTCTTATGCTTATAAGTAACTGGCAAAATAGATTTTTTTTCAATTTGTCTGCAAAAAACTCCAATAAATCTATTTCGATTCCATATGAGTTGAACATACTTGTTGTTAGTGAAGGTGTTGTTGATTTTGTTGTTGTTGTTGTTGTTGATAGATAGTGTTGTCGTTGTAAATTATTTATAAAACCATAAAATTTACTTGATTGAATTAATAATATTTGAAATTTTGCACCTGCAAAACATGTTTCTGGTATACGTTGAATAAAATCAATTTGTTTAAAATAAATATTTGTTGTTGTTGATCCACGAAATGATGTTGAATTACTAAATATAATTTGACCATATGTATTAAATCTTGAAAATGCTAATTGACCTATTACTGCATTTGTAAATACATGATCTGATATACGTAAATATTGAGTATTAAAACGTAAACTACGAACTTTTAAATTATTAAATGTATAGGAATGTAATGTTAAATTATCACTATCAAATGATAAACGATCATATTGGACAATTGACCATCTATAGTTTGATGTTACATTTGTTAATGTTTTACATTTCATACGTGTTTCATTTAATTTATCATTATCATTTTCTTGTATAAACATACTATTTCGAAGTTTTTGACATTGACATTCTTTTGGTAAAGAAGTTAATTCACACGCATTCTTTGTTATAATTAATGTTTTGACAAATGGTAATAGACAACTAATCAAATATAACCAAAATAAAGTAATCGATGAAGAATACAGTGATTTCAGTATGATTCGTGATGCACAGAGAAGAAAATGAAACCTAAAATAGAAAATGAAAAAGAGTTTATAAAAAAATAATAAAGTATTGATACATGCAAATATTATGTTGTAAAATGTATAAGTGATCATTCATTCATACGATTAAATTAATTAATAAAATATCCTGTTAAATACACAATGACAACATCAAGAAGAGACGATAAAGAAATACGACCATTTATTGCACAACAGAGCTTCGTATGGATCTAAAATTCGGAGTTTAGCCCAGTCCGAGTTCATGAAAAACAGCTTTTTCAATCCATGGACTCTGAAAAAGTAGTCCACTCATTGCCAAATTTTCAACGTGACTTGTCTCATCCAAAAACGAGAAAATAAAAAAACGCGTTTTGTTATGTTTTTTGTACTAAGAAACGGATGAAAACGCATTTTTTATTTTCTCGTTTTGATGAGACAAGTCACGTAGAAAATTTAGCAATGGGCAGTTCGTAATACAAAAACAACATGTTTTTTACTGATTATTCCTCGATTCAAGTGAATTCAAAACTTTTTCTTGAGTCTAGACCAATCCATGGTCTGGAAAGTTTGAGTCGAGCCCAGCTCGAGTCCATGAACTCAAAAAGTTTTCAGTCCATACAGTGCTCTGCTATACAAGATTAAGATACTGAGAATTAAATTCTGTCAATTGTGTGTTCTTGAAAAACATAAAAAAAAAAAATAACGCTTGGAACTATGTGACCAATTAAACAATCTTTTTTGATATGAGCTTCTTTTTTATAAATTTGAATATATTTATAAGACTCGTTTCTCCTATTATTAGAAAGAGTTTCGAGAAGATAAATAAATGTTTTAATTTTACCTGAACATTTTTTTAATATTACATAACCTTGTCTACTAATTGAACACGTTGTTTAGATGATGTTCAAAATAAATGAGAGAACAATAACAGAGATAATATTCTAATAATTTATCATCAATCATAATGTATATAGAGTATTTTGTCCTCCTTCTATTATTATTATTGTATATCATTCATTCATTCATTCATTCATTCATTTATTCATTTACAGAATTGACGATTAACAAAAATTAGTATAGAACATCTGTAGTCGAGATCTGGCTTTTTTCATGTTTTGTTATTGCAGGAACAAAACTTATAGAATAGAACTTTCTTGATCGAGAAGAAAATTATATCAGAAATAAAAAAAAAGAAAACGGTAATGTACTAATAAATTTGCCTTGAATCATTCAAATTCTTTTTTTTTTTATAACAATCACATTTCCGTCATGACTATGTCGTACGAATCAATAGATTAATAATGATAGTTATTAAGATTATGAAATGTAGAAAAATTAGTGTTTTCACTTGACAAGATACTGATTTGTCCGTGAAGAGATTGTCACATTAGAAGATCCCTCCCCAAATAGAAAACCTCTTATTCTAAGATATTTTTAGAAAACAACTTCAGTTCTACTGCTAACAAAACGATATTTTAGATGAAACTTTTTTTCAGGACACAATAAAAGATTCATCTAAAATCTTTAAAATTCAGGATAGATTAGAAGATAATGTGTGACAATCACTTTACGTCTACGAAGAGATAGAAAAAACGAATAGAATATTCGATAAAAACGAGATTAAATGATAATTTTTCGAATATTTTGGAAAAATACTAGAATAATAGTTGCGCAGAATTGAAATAAAATATATAAAATTATTTTATAATCAATCAATATGTTAACACTATCAGAGTGGCTGTTAACGAATTATCTGATATTATTATTAAATTAAAAATGTTATTCGTAACAAAAAGAAGTAGCTAAATTTGAATCAAATCGTGTTTCTCATTCGTTATCTTTATCTAAAATGTCTTGTGCAGATAAATATGCTGCTTAAAAAAACTATACTTCTTATAAAATATATGGGATATTTTTGTAAATAATCATTAAAAGAGCCACATAAAAAGTTTAGAAACTAAAAGAAATAATAATTTGGATAAAATAGAAATTACTTTGCTTAATCTCCTCTTTGATAGTTGACAGTCATCTATGTTCTTTCGAATGAATTAGAGTATCTAGAATCACTTTTACTTACATCTGATAACGAGATTGAATTCTGTTTTAGTTTTTTAGTTTTTGTTAATATATCACTATTATTTTTAATTATTATTTGTACGAATTTCTACTGCTTTATTTTTTTTATTTTTACTAACGACGAAAATGATGATCAATATTGATATCAACACATAAGAGAAATCTAATTTTTCTTATCACTAAATCTATTTGTTTGTTTGTTTGTTTGTTTGTTTGTTGGTGGTGTTGTTGTTGTTGTTTTAGTTATTGTTTTTCGATGCGAAGGTAAGAAATTGTGTGTATGCGTGTGTGAATCATAATATATCGAGGAAACTTGATGATAATAAAAAATAAAAGAAGAATAAACAAAGAGGATATTATGTCTTTTTTCTCTAAAGAATAATAATATTGGCTTAATACATTAATAGAATAAAACATTGTTCTTTCTTTCTTTCTTTCTTTCTCTTGTTTTCTTATCTTTGTCCTTCTTCTTCCTTTTCTGTTAATTATACGAAATACACTGGTAAAACGATGGCAATTGTTCAGTGTCGGTGTCTCCCTTTTGTACATGGTTGAACGAATACCAGGCCAAAAAGATATAGATTAATAATAAAAAAAAAAATTCATTCATGAAAAGAAATTGACTAAATATAATTGATTATTATTATTATTATTATTATTATCATATTGAAACGATTATGTATCTATTAGTGCCAATGGACAATATTTCGTCTACTTCCGGTTCCTTTTTTTCTAAAGAAAGAACGAACGATGAATGGTAAATGAACATCGTTGTTCTGTTTTTTAACCTATTATCAATTGAACAAGAAGGCTGATCAATGTGTGAGTAAGAATATAATTTTGTATTATGATAAATGATCGTTCAACACGATTTTTATTGATGACACATCATCATATAACTAATATAGATTTCAGATGGAACAAAAAATTATCTGGTATATTCTCTCATCTCAATTTTATACAGACAGTCTATGATGTAATAAATGTTTCTCAGTACAATAGTTTAACATATGACAGAATAATGGGGTATCAATTTTTTTTGATCATACAAAAAAAAAATAAGACGTTTGATCATCAAATAAATTAAAGAAAATATATACAAGAAGAATATATAACAATTTAATAATAAATTAAATTAGTTTCGTTTGAACGTTTAAGCAAATTCATTATCCAAGTAAAAAAATCAGATCAAGATCGTCATAGAATAAATCATAGAAATGAATTAATTCATCTTATAAAATTTTATAAAAATCATACAAGAATCTTACGAAATCTGATGAAATCTCACTATAAGATCTTACATCAAGAATCAATTTCTATGTTTCTTACAGAATCTTACAAAATCAGATGAAATCATACAAGAATGTTATAAGATCGTATAGTAAGATTCTTTGACCTGGCTAGTGGACAGACAAGAAAAAGAATATAAAGAAAATATATACAAGAAAAAGTATGAATAGAAATATGAAATCGAAAAAAATCTGATCAACGATATTGGCAAGCATTAAACTGTAATTTTGTGTATTCTTTCGCTTCATCAAACAATCTAACTGTGTGTAATACTTTCCATTCTTGCTTTGCTTGACATTTTTTTGATGGTATCGTCTGTAGTTTAGGGCAGTTTTTTTATAGCTCTTGTGAGTTGAACAAACCGTCAACTATAGACATATTATTTCATATATCTTTCATATTTTTGTTTATACTTCTTCTTATATATATTTTCTTTAATTTTAATTTTTGTTAATTAATGTGTTGATCAAAACACATTTTTCTTCACAATAATTCTTGAAAATGTTCATTCAACATAATTTTAAATCATTTTCTTAAATCTCTAATTTTTTTTTTGTATTTTAAAGTGAATATCACAATATCAGTGCATCAATGTTTGAACAATTATTATTTAATTACTTTTACTGCCTGTAAAATAGAGATAATATTCTAGAATTTATTTTCTAACACGTTTTTATGTCTGTCAATGTGAATGTAAATATCGTTCTCATCATGGAATAAAATTAATATGTATATTTAATCCAAACATCTAACAGTGGCAAACAAAAGTTCTTAGTATTTTATCTATATCTTAATTATTAACCATAGTCCATCTTATAATTGAACAGTTTGACTATCTATCGCAATTATTCCCTATTTCTTGTATGAAAGAACTCAATGGAAAAGATCATATATCTCATGCAGTTTTATATTAATTATTTCTCTTTTACCCATGTCTTTTTCTTTTTCTTTTATTCATATATATATATATATATATATTAACTATTAAAAGTACATTAATAGATGTATTCCACAGAACAAATTTCTAAACAATATGAACTCTATAAAATAACAAAATACTTAGTCTTTATGAATGATAAATAATAATGGCCATTATCTAACAATAGATATTCTAGAAAACATATTTTTCTCTGTTTTATTTGAGTGTCTCTATCAACACAATATTTGAAAATTTTAGAGAAAAGTAACCATATCAAATCTATCAAGAATCAAAAGTTATTGACAGTTAGTCAGTATAGTTGAATAACAAATTAGATTAAATTATCAAGAGATTTCTGACCTTTTTCTTTTTTTTTTTTTATTTCATAATTCTCATAACACTGTTATGTACTACTTATTAAATAATAATAAGTTTGTACATGTCAAAAAAAAAAAAAAAAAGAAATGAAGTAAAGACAATAATAGAAGATTAAATGAATAGTAGTATTCTTCGCAATATTACATTTGGGATTTTTATACATTGAAAAGAGAAACGATATACATTTTCTTTTTTTTGTAAAAGAAATCGGGAAAATAAGTTGATTTTTTTCTTTTTCATCTTAAAGATAATAGTATAATTAGCTATTGAAGATAATGAAAATGATGTTGTGACAGTTTAATAATGATAATACAGTTTTAAATTTATACAGGCAGTGCATATATATATTGTGCAAAAAGACAATCCATTGCTGTATTACACAATAAAGAGAGACTTTTATGTCCATTTGACATATTTTCTGTTCAATAATATTTTGAACTATTTAACATAGAATTATTTCTAAACCTTACCACTTACTGTATTTTTACAATTAAATATTTTATCCAAGAAGTAATTAAAGAATTTTTATTAAAAATTCATAAATTGTAGCTCGTGCATTTGATTACGCAATATATCCATGTGGCTATAAAACACTTGTGCTTGTCATAAAAAAAATTTTTTCTAGACAACTTTCAAAGAATATGATGACTATCTGTACAATATCTACTACAATATGTTTCCACAAAATTTTTCAAGATACTCAGAAAAGAAGTCATTATTTCATATAATCAAAAAAATGTATCAGACAGAGTATCCATAAGCATATTTTATTTAAATTTATTCAGTAGGAAACATTGATGTTCGGCTAATATGATTAAAAATGCATCCATATTTTGAATTCGTTGACTAATTTCTATTTCAAATATCTTCTTTCATATCATAATCATCTAGGAATTATGTTCTTGTTATACGAGTCAATTTTTTATTATTGAGTATTTAAATATCAAATCAATGTATGTTCAGCTACATTTAATTTACTAAAATGTGTAAACGACCTAGGCATTCACTCGACATCAAAACGGTTATATTTTTTTATAGACAGTCACTCTGGTGTGTAGAAGGTTTAAGTGTGTAAACCAAAAAATCTTATGATTGAGTTTCTAAACAGAAACGGGTAGAAAATGAAAACCTAATTTAAAACTCATGATCAGCATGTTTAACAATATATAGAATATCATCGACAAAAAAATAAAGTTCATGTAATTTTTGTTAATTAATGTGTTGATCAAAACACATTTTTCTTCACAATAATTCTAGAAAATGTTCATTCAACATAATTTTAAATCATTTTCTTAAATCTCTAATTTTTTTTTGTATTTTAAAGTGAATATCACAATATCAGTGCATCAATGTTTGAACAATTATTATTTAATTACTATTTATTCAGTAGGAAACATTGATGTTCGGCTAATATGATTAAAAATGCATCCATATTTTGAATTCGTTGACTAAGTAGTTACTGTGATAGATGATGATAGAGCAATTGTCGATTTTTGAATGATTTTGTAATGAAAGAGAATCAGCAGTTTTTTGTCGGTTGTGGTAAAGATTATGGCAAAAGATTTTCTTCGAATGAATTTGACACTTCACTAATCTCATCTTCTTGCA